GGATTCGCCTCAATTTCCCTTTATTTAACCATAAAACCAAGGAATTTTTTTGACTCGACGCCAAAGGCGCACTTCTCTGGATTCAACTTTTATGCGGTATATCCTGAGAACATTGAAAGTTTCTTGGAGGTAGTCAATGTGGTTAGTTGTTGCAAGACTCTTTACCAACATGTCTTCCACATACACCTCCATCGTTTTCTCGATCTGTGACTCGAACATCTTGTTCACTAGTCGTTGATAAGTTGCTTCTGTATTCTTCAACCTGAAGGGCATGACTTTATAGCAGTAAGTCTCTTTTGGAGTAATGAATGAGGTTTTCTCCTGATCTGGGGAGTGCATGCTGATATGGTTATACCCAGAATATACATCCAACAAGGTGAACAATTCATGTCCTGCAGTGACATCATTGAGGAGGTCTATTCGTGGTAGTGGGTAGTTATCTTTTGAACAGGCCTTGTTGATCTCAGTAAAGTCGACATAGAGACGCAACTTCTCATTAGCTTTAGTCACCATCACCACATTTGAGAGCCATTCAGGATAGATTACTTCTCTGGCCGCTTCGTTCTCTATCAATTTTCTCACCTCTTTTTCCATTGTTTGGGCCCTTTTAGTGGAGGTGCCCCTTAGCTTTTGGCGAACAAACTTGTGGTGAGAGTCAACATTGAGGCAGTGGGTGGCGACCTCAGGATCAATACCCTCAAGGTCTGCATGTGACCATGCAAAAATGTCCATGTTGAGCCTTAGAAAGTCTATTAGGTAGTGGACCAAATCTTCAGAAAGAGAAGAGCCAATGTATACTCTTCGGTCTGGATAATTTTCATCTAGGACTACTGGCCTGAGCTCCTCTACTGGCTCTCCTCTTTCCAACTTGGCATCATCTCGCGGGTCAAGGACCTCCACTTGCAATGCCTCTTGTGGCTTTCTGGTCTTCATTGAGGAAACGTAACACTCTCTTGTTGTTACCTGGTCTCCTCAGACCTCTCCTACTCTATTTAGAGTTGAAAAATAGAGAATGAGATGATAGGTGGAGGGAACAACTCTTAAGGTGTTGAGAGCTGGTAGCTCTAGGATAATATTGTAGGCTAAAGGACAATCTATCACCAGAAAGTTGACTATGATTGTGGAGCTTTGAGGTGCCACTCCAACAGTGACAGGTAAGGTGATAGACCCTGGGGGGATATACCTTATTTCCTGAGAATCCAATGAGGGCGACCTGATGGGCTACAACCTCTCTCTACCCAAGTTGAGCTTGTTATAAGCCTCTACGAACAAGATATTCACAGAGCTGCCGCTATCCACGAGAATTCTTTGCACCTGAAAATTGGCAACGGTCATGGTGAGCACCAAAGGGTCATCATGGGGGGTGCTGGATTCCTTCCAAATTCATCGAGGTGTCTGGTTTTCCTGGTATGAGCCTTCATGGTGGATAGGGATTCTCCTTCTTCTGCAAGCCCTCTAGAGATGGTGTAAATTTTCCCAATGAGTTGCTGATCCTCCTGGTTATAAGGTGGTGTCGGTGCTTGTCCCCTACTGGCAAGATACCGACGTAATTGACCTTGTTGGATGAGCTCCTTAATTTGTCTTTTGAGGTCATAGCAGTTTTTAGTGTCATAATCATGGTCCTGATGGAAGCGACAATATTTTTTTGGGTTCCTACGGTTTGGGGGAGATTTCATTCTCCCAAGCCACTTATTTGTGGGGCCATCTTGGATCTGTAATAGGATGTACCCGACAACGGTATTAAGGGGAGTGAAGGCTTATCAATCTCTCTAGGGAGCAGGACTAAGCCGGTCTTTGGCAGGTACCCTCTCTGTCTTGCTGCGCTTGTTATTACTCTCCTTTTTGTCATCCTTGTCTCTTTTTTTTTCTTTATTCCTAGCTCTGGAAGACTCACCTCGCCTGCTCCTTGCAATGTCCTTAGCATTCATGTATTTTTGGGTCTTTGTTAGCAGTTCTAGTTTGCTCTTGGGTGGGCGCTGCATCGGGCTCCTCGACCTGAAAGACCTCCTCATTAAAACGAGTGAGGTAGCTCCTTAGGCTCTCATCTCGAACCTACTTTATGTTGAACAAGTGGGTGACAGGCTTTTGGTGACGGCGTCCTCCAATGAAATATGACATGAAGGACCTACTAAGCTTAGCAAATGAGCCAATGGAGGCTGGAGAGAGCTTGACGAACCATTGTCGAGCGAATCCCTTCAATGTGGTTGGGAACGCTCTGCATATGATTTCATCAAGGATGTTGTGTAGTTGTATCAAGGTCTTAAAAGTTTCGAAGTGGTCTAGTGGATCCTTCGTACCATCAAAGATTTTGACGGATGACATCTTGAATTTTTGAGGGAGTGGGTAGTTTGCCACATCAGGTTTGAAAGATGTGTCAGTTTGACTTACGAGATAGTCTACTGTCTTAGGTCCTTGTGCCTTCATGGCGTTGAAGACGTTACCCAATTTATTTTGCACCTCTTTAATTTTTTCGTCTCAGTGATTGGAAGGAGGTCCTCTGAAATTAGCACAAATATGGCTTTCATGCTCCATGCTTTGGTTTTCACCCTTATCCTCTTGAAAAGGAGGGTCTCCACTATGGGGAGTAGGAGTAGGGCCTGGAGGGGGAGGTCCTTCATGGTGGGGCCCCCTGTGTGGGGCGCCCAAGGGGACGCCTAAATGGGGAGCGCCTAGGTGGGGATATCCTTGATGACTTGGGAGTGGAGCTCTCCTAGCTTGAGGTCTAGGTTGCGCTCCTCCTTGTTACCCGAGTGTCAATTACAAAATCTTTGGACTATAAGCTGCTGTATTGTGTTTAGTATCTACTGTGCATTTGAGACGAAATTGGCAGGTGGAGGAGCAACCTCCTCATCTCGTGGTTGAATGTCTTTGGGCTGATTCATGGATCCCTATGGTGATAGCCTTTGGTTCAGCAGAGAAAGTGTTTATCTGAGAATTTTGTTGTTCTCACAGACGACGTTAAACTGATGATGAACAAATTGGTTTGCATATCACCTGTCAATTAAGTAGTATAAAATGTAGTAAAATAAAGGGAGAGAGAAAACCAAGTTTATAGTGGTTTGGTCAAAGTGACCTACGTCCACTTAGAATGACAAAAGTCGTCAGGATTTTATTAACTCCAATGTAGTGGGAGAGTAGAAAGTTACAAGCTTTGAGAGAGAAGGAAAGAATTATCTCGAATGAGTCTGATTCTCCCAAGTGCTGGTGGGAGTTATAATTTATAATGACTTAGTATAGTAATTGAATAGCTAGTCTGACGCTTATAACATGTTGGACTCGTTTAATAATCATAATGGATTGAAGTGACTTTAACAGTAATTAAATAGCTTGGCGACCTCTCATCTCCTTTCCTCAATGGGTAAGGAAGTTATGATACTCTTCAAAGGACTTGGTCAAATGATGAGAAAAAGTTGACTCTTTTCAAGCGATGAGGGTGAGGCTCCTGTATGTTCTCTTGGCTCGTAGCTCCTTGATGGAGTTGACTGGCTTGGACCCCATAGGGCTTGCTGGGTCTTCTATAAGCTTGAGCTCGTAATTAAGTTTGACCTTTCCACATGGATTGGGCCTGGTCCACCAAAATTAATAAAGTGAATATGGATCCTAGAATTATTTTGTGGATATTGTATCAAAATTTATAATTAAATTAATTAATCACAATTTGTTTAAGATTAAATAATTTAATTATAATTCTATAAAATTAAATCCTATTCAAAAATTAGGATTAATAATGTTTTTGTATGGCAACCTTAGCCATTGGTCCATATAAATCACGAGATACAAATAATAATTTAGATATCATTATATTATTTTGTCTTGAAATTTGTACTGAATTTATCCTATCATATATTAATAAGGGATACACTTACATAAAATGAGTTTTATTTGGATTCATAGTAGATGATTTGTCAATAAGAAAAAAAAAATGCATATTGGAGTAGATCGGTGAACTAACTTGCATTTATTCAATTTTTTTTTTTTAACAAAATATCTATATCACCCTATATCTCCTTTAATTCTTATCCAATATTCTAACTGTTGGGATAAAAAAAATTAGAAAAATTTAAAAGTGCTATGAATTGTACAACATTGTCGCTTGAGTTTAATGATTGTATATAGTGAATAAATAATATAGTCATAAATCCAAATGAACCCGTAATTGAGTAATTCTCCATTAGCAAAAGGATGTGAACTGGATTTCCACAAATTTAATAAGAAAAAAAAAATAAATAGAGAGGGATAGAATAGATACATAGACATATAGAGTGGGTATAGGTGTTGGTGTGGGNTATAATGATTGTATATAGTGAATAAATAATATAGTCATAAATCCAAACGAACCCGTAATTGAGTAATTCTCCATTAGCAAAAGGATGTGAACTGGATTTCCACAAATTTAATAAGAAAAAAAAAATAAATAGAGAGGGATAGAATAGATACATAGACATATAGAGTGGGTATAGGTGTTGGTGTGGGGGTGAAGAGGCCTAGTAAGTGCAAGACAGATTGTAAACAGCTCATTCTGGTCTGGGTGGGTTTTGGATGTTAGCTTGGTTTCCCCAACCGCCTGGCAGAGGACGATGTTTGATGATGGCGGTGAAGTGTAGCGAAGATAGATTGAATACTCTTAATTATTTAAAAAAAAAAAAANGCATAGGTGTGGGTGTGGGGGTGAAGAGGCCTAGTAAGTGCAAGACAGAGTGTAAACAGCTCATTCTGGTCTGGGTGGGTTTTGGATGTTAGATTGGTTTCCCCAACCGCCTGGCAGAGGACGATGTTTGATGATGGCGGTGAAGTGTAGCGAAGATAGATTGAATACTCTTAATTATTTAAAAAAAAAAAAAAAAAGGTTATATTATAATAATATTTTAAATTGACGACAACTTGCTGACATCAACACGCTCTATTTCCAATTCTACCACGACAGCATTACATAACAACACATACTTGGTCTCTTGCTATCATCAACTGAGCTTTGAGCTTCCCTCCAACCATTGGCGGCAATGAAGCTGAAGCTCCATTCTTTCACACCACTTTCAAGTTTCTTCTTCTTCCTCACCACCTTATGTTTCTCTACACTGTCGTTAGCAGCAAACAATGTGACTTACGACCGTCGCTCTCTCATTATCGATGGCCAACGGAAGCTTCTCATCTCCGCTTCCATTCACTACCCTCGCAGCGTCCCCGCGGTGAGAATCCTCTCTCTCTCTCTCTCTCTCTCGTTTTGGTAACAAACGGGGCATTCTGGTTGTTCGAATTTTGTTTGCACAAATAGAATTGTATATCTATTTATTCGTTATGAACTGAGTTGTCCTCAAGAAAAGTTGTATTTTTAATGGACGTCACCACTACCAGAAAGCATTTGCTTTGAATGGTCTTGTGTTTCCAAGTATTCAAAATCCTCTGTTGTTGTTGCTTGTGGTTGCTGCGCCCGTGAAGTCATTAAAATATGGTATTCAAATAAAAATACACATTCATACAGTTGGTGATAAAATTATTGGTGGTCTTGTTTTCTTTGTTGGCGATTCTTTTTCCAGTCAAATGTGAGCATTATTATCTTGCTACATTTATCTGGTTCTTTGAGTTGAAATGTGGGCATATTATTGTCTTGCTACATTTATCTGGTTCTTTGAGTTGAAGAATTTTGTGTATGTGTTAGGGTCATTGGTTTAAATTTTTTTACAATGTGGGCAAAAATTCAGTTCATTCTACCATTTAAAAGAAATATCATGGACTCTGGAGTTTGAATTCTATTTTGGCATTCTGGTTAATCAGTGCTGATAATTATACTCAATTCCGCAAAGTTTTGTTTAACATTTTTGGGGCAGGCTACATTAATCATGTTTCTCCTTTATACTCTATTTTAGGGCCTTTGAATCATAATTATTATATCTTTCTTTACTATTTAATTTAAAGTCAATTTTGGTCTTCCTTCCATTCCTTTGCTGTCAATAGCTATCACAATTCACAACACTTTTTCTCTGCGGTACCTTAAGTGGCCGTGATCCATAACTAGGGGCCATATAAATTGCGCTGAAATTCCAACATTGTTTATTCAACTATATTAACTCATGGATGTCCTTCTTATTATCACCATTAGATTGATAATGTGGGAATCGAATATGTACCATACTGATTTCTGGTTTCAGAGTTCTTGAATTTTGTAGCTCCATTGTTTTGACAATGAATGATGCAGGTATGCGACTTATTTTTATCACTGATCCTCTATGTCAAGTGGTCTGCAACATAGGTTTTGCTTCCCCAATTCATTTTGATGAAAGGCCTCATCTTAAACTGGTGCTTATTATGTTGGTATTGTTTGATAGGCATTAAGCTCACGGTTAGTCTAGGAGTGTTGATGTTTCAGGACTAGTGCGTATGCTAGATCCATAACGCCAATGGACTGGCATGTAGGCTAGGTCCAAGATCATTGTGGGGTATGGGATTGAAGTGTTGTTTGTGGTTTTTCAAATATAGTAAAATCACTTATTGAGATTTCTAATTTGTAAAAGCATTTCTAACCATGACTCAAATTTTTAATTAAATTTAAATTAACAATTGACTAAAAAGTTTGATTTGGTACAAAGGATTCTAATGGACAAATTCAACTTTAAATGAGGGCAAAACCAAATTTAAAAGAGAGTAACGATGACTATTGGATCTTTAAAAGACGGTGAAATCTCATTATTAAAAATTTGGATAAGGATTTGAGTCTCCGTTAATTTGAGTAAAAAAATAAGTCTCTCTTGATTTGGTATAAGTTTGAGTCAAAGGTTGGAACAAATTTTTTGGGTTTTTTTACTCAAATTTAAATTTGAGTCAAGGTTGGAGATTTTTTCATACAACTTAAAGTAAAACAGTAACAATCAAGAACGAAATAATTATAAGTATGAACGAAACAATTTTACATAATTTATAATTAAACATCCGTTTGTAGTTCAAGAATTGTTATTGAATCTTTTGTAGATCAAGGCTAGTATTTTACACTATGTCCTTTAGACATATTTCGCCCCCACACTTGTTGCTTATGGAAATCAAAGTGTCTGTCTTTCAGGATACAATGATTTTCATGTGAATAAAAACAACACTCCAATCTAATCGTATAGCGAACCAAAACTATGTGATTCTGCTCGCATGAAACGCCGCCGCATGGAAGAGAAGAGCATTCTTCCATTTGAATTTAAAAAAACCAGTGGCCACCAAAATTCTGGGTTAACAAAATTTATGGATGCCAAAACACAAATCCTAGCACAAAATCAGTGTCGAAACTCCGTGCCGACATCCATGAGTGCAACAGCCACTTTAATTATTCATGATCGCCCAAACAATGGGATTACTCTAGCGTCACTATGTAATAAAAATAGAAAGACCGCATCAATGGTCGCTAATCTTTCTGGCAGTAGTTTTTCTGTGAGTGAGTCTCAAAATCTTCTTGATTTTTCACTGTATCTTGCCCAAATTTTTCCTTGCAGCAAGACCTGAAAACCCATCAATTATGTGTCATAGTTTTTACCATAATGATTCTTCGACCCACAACTCTTGTAGTGTCGTTTCTCTCAAATTAATGAAACCATGTATCAACCAAACGATCTCTTCTTAACTACCGCGAATGCATTGCAAAAGGATGTTTACTATATTGAAAGTGTTGTATATAGACTGGTAGTACAAGAAATCAAAGTAGAAGATACAATCAAAATAAGAAAGATAGGAAAAAGTCGTTATTGCAATGCGTGACACTCACTATTTTCGAGATAGTAATTTTTCCACTATGATGCAAATCAACTCATGGAAATTCTATCCATAAGAAACAATGCCTAACAATTAAGACTATCAAATACTGTATTTCTTAATAGTCTTAGAATCAAAACTCAACCCGAATGAAACTCTGAAAATTAATCTTGAGAAAATATGATAATAGAATTAGAAATTAACAATTGACCTTTTTTTTCTTCTTATGGCCAATGAATAGGAACCCTATATTTATAGTGTTCCATACACCTCTTTACAAGAGTTGTAACTCTTCATTTAAATGCCAATAGATGCCTTTATTTGCAAGGTTGTAACTCTTGTCTTCAAGATTCCCTTTAACCACCAATAAATTTTTTTTATATAATTTATCATTATTAGTAAGTATTAGTATATATTCATATATACACAACTGGGGGGTATATCCTCTTTAATGAGTGCATAATATTGCATGCCCTGATGTATAAGTTTTTATTAACCCTCTTTATAGTTCACCAAAATTATATTTAATTGTTTTATTTCTGTTATATAAGTTCTAAACTTTAATTTTTTATAGAAACTTCCCCAACATCTATCTCCGTAATTTGTAGTATTTTTTGGGTATGCTAGAGAGATACAGGGTCCACTCTCCAAGACGCTAGAAATTGATGCTCAAGTTGGGATCCAAAATTTTGATTTAGGAGATTTAATAGGCCTTTCGACTCTTTTAGGAAAATAAAAAGATGTTTAGGGGTAAACTTTTTGTGGGTCACTTCACAAATTCTGCATGAAACTAAAGTACTTTTTGAACCTAGCAGGGTGGCTCCCTCCCTTCATTCCCTTGCCTGTCCCCCTAGACCTGCTATTTCTGAATGCTTACAATTTGGAATTGGGCTGTGTTCTGATATATCTTTGACACTGGAACAATTGGAAAATGAAAAATGATTAGAAATATGTGTTTTTCTGCATTCGTAGTAACCAAGCATTTGTAGTAACTGAACAAGGCTGGATTGTTTATTTGATTAAACTTTCACCTTAATTGTGCATTTGGGACAGTAACTTTTATTTGATTTTCTACGCATGGAACATAGGTTCTCTAATATCTCCATGTTGGATGTAATAGATGTGGGCAGGACTGGTTCAGACAGCGAAAGAAGGAGGTGTGGATGTGATTGAAACTTATGTGTTTTGGAATGGCCATGAACTTTCTCCGGGCAATGTGAGTGGAATTAAATTGTATTTAATGATTTATAAGAATTCAAGATGCTTGTTTTTCCGTTTCGACATAAAACTTATAATTGATCTTCTCCATGTGAATGTCTTAGTATTATTTTGGGGGAAGGTATGATCTGGTCAAATTTGCAAAGATCGTTCAGCAAGCCGGCCTGTATTTGATTCTTCGGATTGGACCATTTGTTGCTGCAGAATGGAACTTTGGGTATGTGAAAGTTCATTGTAGATTGCATGGGATCATTGCCCAATTTGGGACCCGTTAATCTAGCACCTTGATCCTAGTTAAACGAGAGTGTGACGTCATGAACATGGTACAAGTCTAGGACATTTTTTGGCACAAACAACTATCTCATATCCAAATTCACAAATTTCAGATTGTTAATCCAACACTTATACATTGTTCCAAACAACGCCCATTCTTGATCGATTGCATCTAGAATAAAAATTTTGCACTAGTATTTAAATTAGATTTTTTATACTTTGGAATCTTGTGAAGCTCTTCTAACTTTGAGTTTTGCTCATGAAATAATAAAAAATGATCCTATATACAGTGGGGTGCCCGTTTGGTTGCATTATGTGCCAGGCACTGTCTTCCGAACTGATAATGAACCCTTCAAGGTATGGAAACTGATACTGATCAATACCATTTGAATAAGTTATATTTCTTTCTATTCTCGTGAAAAACACTGGTTTTGTATTTTAAATGACTACACTTTCTGTAATCAATTTGGCTGCTTGGAATTTCAGTATCACATGCAGAAGTTCATGACTTTTATAGTGAAACTGATGAAGCAGGAGAAGCTGTTTGCATTGCAAGGTGGACCTATCATCTTGGCCCAGGCAAGTTGTAGCCCTCACTGGACAAGGTTTTTTGGTAAAAGTGTGTTTCAAGTTACTCTAATCAGTTATGATGGAAACAGAATAGAATCTTAATTCTTCTAATTCACTGTGTGGTTTGGTCGGCCTCTACTCTCTATTAAGGGTGCTAGGAGGGATAGATTGAGTATAATACACGTTTCAAGATCGCGGTATCGGCCATTGACTCGGAGGGATTTGAGACACATCGGTCGCGACGTCATGTCGTGATATCAGGCAATACGACTTAAAAGAAAAGGTTATGCATGACGAGAGATTCAGACTATATCGCGGCGTCGCGGAATCGAATTGGTCGATTCGGTGACAATAATTCAACGAATCGGGATTGACTCGAAGACGACTTAGATGAGTCGTGAGAGACTTGGACGAGTAATTACAAATTCGGAGTTTATACGTAACTAGTAACAGGATCGACTCGGGAAATGCCGAGTACTCGTATCGGCTCGGCTGATACTTTGAACCATGGTACAACGTTGAAAATTGATCTTATAAAGAATTTGGTTGTTATGATGCTAAAATTAAAAAACGTAGGGTTGTGTCATATTGTAGCAACTGAAACACAAGTGAGACGTCAGATATCCTAATTCCCTGAAATAAGTGGTGGACACCAGTGGACTACGACTTTGTATATATTGGAGTCAACACTACTATCACTATTATCCAAGGATCGAATTTGTCTTTCGGTGTATGGTTTTGGTTAGTTAAAAAATGGAAATGTTTCGGTGAAACATCAAAACAAAGAAAAAATTTGAAATTTTTTTTCCCTGACATTGACCGAAACACTTCGAAACATTCTGAAACACCTTGAAATACCTCAAAACATAAGAATTTCTACGTTTGATTACTTATTTCTGTCGGTCACTGAAACTTTCAGTGGTTTCAATGGAAACAACAAGGAATTTTGATCCTTGTTTTATCATAGGTGTTAAGTTAATTCTTATGAGTTTCAACTTTTGATATGAAAGCTTTCGTGGGAAAATAATTTCAAGATGAATATAATGGTATAAATTTTCTTTTGGCTTATATATGTGATTTTTGGTTTTCCCTGCTTTCGGGAAGACGTGCAAGTATGAATGTAATGATAAAACTTTCTCTTTTGGCTTATAGCTGTTATTTTTTGTTTTAACTGCTTTCTCATCTTTGTAAGCTCTGATTGATTACTTATAACTTTGGGAATATATGGAAAGGGTTTGGGATTCCATTCAGCAGCTCCCTTTTGCTGCAGGTAGAAAATGAGTATGGCTTCTATGAAACGGCTTATGGAGAAGGAGGGAAACGATATGCGCTGTGGGCTGCTAGAATGGCTTTATCTCAAAATATTGGTGTACCTTGGATAATGTGCGAGCAGTTTGATGCTCCAGATCCTGTGGTGAGAATTTTATCTATCTTTCTATGTTTAAGTTTACCAAACTGAATATTAGTTTATCGTCATTTTAAATAAATTTGATATGATACGAACCCTAATTATTACCAAACAATCATAATTGTTAGATTTAGAAAACAGAGAGAATTAACCCAATATGAGAGTGGCAGAGAATAATGTTCTTACCCTACCTCTCACACTTGACTTATATTTATAGGTTCCTAACAAGAATGCAAAGGACTAGTATACCCTTAGAGAGGTATACTTATTACATCATAGTAAATATTAACAAATATTACACTAAAACTCTCAACAATAATAAATGGGTGTGCTGTGTGGATATCCTAAGGTTAGTTAAGTTGGCCTGTTTTCTCTCATTTCTATGTAAACCTTTATGTACGAACAATGCTTGACATGAGTCACATGACTGTCTGGCTTACTGTTGGACTGTTAATTTAGTAAATGTTTATAGAATTTTCTTCAAACATCATCCTAGAAAAGATAAAAAAAAATTAGAATCCATGCTAAATCATTATTGGTGATTGAATCTACCTCACTGTAGATCAATCATAACACTATTTGGCTCAAAAAGAGCGAATCCACCAGTTCTTAAAGGCTTGTTAGTCCAAAAGTCAATTCAACTCACAAGTAAAGAATAGTGGATGCTGCTTGCATCCCACTTCCCCCATAGAAATACTGAATAGAATGAAGTATTTTTTGTCTCTCTGGAAATCCAACTATCATGAAAAATTTCATCTGTGGACCAAAAAAGGCATGAGGCGAAATACTACAAAAGGAAAGTGTAATGACAGTATCACAAATTAATTTTCTCCGGTGGTAAATGAGAAACAAGTTTAGATTTTATTAACTAATTTTTATGATGGTATCGTATGAAAGTGGATTTAATAAGTTCTGTATGACAAAAAAATTGACATTAAAAACGACTGGTGGAATAATGACCCCATTAAATCAAATTCGTTACTATTCTAGCCCCCTCACCCTCTTGATAAAATCCTGGTTCTGTTTCTGGCTGAAGGGTACTTTATTCATTTGTTTATTAGGCCACTATTAATACAAGCTCTTCAGGAAGAGAACCCAGATTCACTAACTCGTTTCAGTGCCCCACTTTCTCTTTTCATTCTTTGATTGTTTTCTTGCATGATGTCAACTGTGGACGCTTTTTGGTATCAGCAGGTATAATATGTTCATTATGAGTCGAAGAGTTTAATAATATCTGCTGTAAAAGGAATTCATGTTAGCATCATATAATACCTTTTTTTTCATTGACATATTAACTAGACAGAGCTTGAATGTATTTAGTTATCGCTTTGAAGGTTTTCTTTATTGTTTCAACAATATGAGAATGAGTTTTCCTCCCTCTTTTTGATAAAATGTACTTGTTCTGGATTTTGATTTGTGACATACAAATGTGAGAATTATTCATTCGACTTGGAGCATGACCTTACATTGTGTCCTTCACAGATCGATACGTGCAATTCATTTTACTGTGACCGGTTCAAACCAATTTCTCCAAACAAGCCCAAAATTTGGACTGAGAACTGGCCTGGATGGTATAGTTATTCTTTCCCTGCAAATGCTACCATCATTAGTAGATCTTTTTTGTTGTTTGTTTGAATGGAGTATGGTTTTGCAAATGTCTAGAAGATACTTTAAATTCTTTTTCCAGCCAAACTTAAATTTCTGGTGCTCCTCAATGTTGCCTTGTAAGTTGTAAAAAACTCAAATGAAAAAAACAATAACTAAAATAAACAAAGAAGATGACCAGAACAAAAGATCATTGAAGTTAAAATCTTTAATTATCACTGGTATTCCCAGGTCCATGCTCACATAGGTGCAACATGATGAGTGAGATTTAGTCAACAACCACCATGTTTGTTCAGTTTGGAGCTGTGTGGAGTTGGCAATCTTCTGGTCTTCATTCTATGGTTGGAAATACTAAAATTTTGAAGATAATCTTGAAGAGGAGGTTGATTTGAGGGAAAGAATTCTTCCCCTGGCTTCCTTTAGGTTTAGGTTTCTACAGATTTTACCAAAATCCCATTGTTTTCGATAAGGTCAGAGTGCCTCGAAAGAGTATTGACTAGCTATGATGAAATGTGTCCCAAATGATCTTCCTCAATATAATGATGCCATTTTTTCTGCTGAGCTTATAATTTTTTTTTTTTCAAGTTAAGGAATGTGATCAGTGTTCAACCTATTCAGGTTTAAAACATTTGGAGCCAGAGATCCTCACAGACCTCCTGAAGATGTTGCTTATTCTGTTGCTCGTTTTTTCCAAAAAGGAGGAAGTCTGCAAAATTATTACATGGTATTCTTTGTAACTTTCCATCTAATAAGCACATTTCTTTTCATTTTACGTGGTCTTTAACTTGTAACTTATATCTCTTGCACTAATGGTTTTATTGGACTTCTGTGGGAAGCTTTCCTGTATTTTTGAGTTTATAAATCTCTTTTTTTTTTTGGCTGAATTTAGTATCATGGTGGGACCAACTTTGGTCGCACTTCAGGTGGACCATTCATTACCACAAGTTATGATTATGATGCGCCGATTGATGAATATGGTGAGTCTTCTCATTTATCCAAATTACCTACTTTGTTAAGAAAAAAGTGAACTCCAACTTTGGCCTTTATATTGCAAGTTATAACTTTCTTTTTGTCCTCATATGGTTTCCAGGGTTAGCAAGGCTTCCGAAATGGGGACATCTGAAGGAACTTCATAGAGCTATAAAGTTATGTGAGCATTCATTGCTAAACAATGAACCAACCTTGCTTTCGCTTGGTCCTTTACAAGAGGTGACTTTCTCCATCTAAGCGTCACACTATGAAGCACGGACACGGACACGGACACGATACGACTCGGACAGGTGGACATGGCATTTTTCTAAAATATAGGACACGGACATGTCGGGGATACGTTGAATAAAATGTATATGTATTTTTATATGACTATGAGTTCTCAAATTTGGCCCAACATATTTTATATAGACCATGGAATAATAAAAATAAAGGCCAAGGCATCACAATCTGGCCAAAATTCGTACATAAGTCTAACATGAACTGTATGTGAAAAGAAGCACTGCTGTCCAAAATTTGTACAAATTTAATTCACTGTGTAAAGTCTATTGGGCCCACTTCCCATAGTATGGTTTAGGTAAGTGGTATTTTGGATAAAGAGTAATCTGGATAAGCAATCTGCATCCTCCATGTGGCAGATTAAAAATGGAAAAGAAGATTCTCTCTTCTTTCCTTCCTCTGGGTAAACCAAATGTCAAAACTCAAACGACACTCTCCAACCCTCTCTCTCTGTTCTGCACCTCTGCAACTTTTGCCTTACTTTTCTTGTCTCTCTCTCTCTCTCTCTCTCTCTCTCTCTTTAACACCTCTTGGTTGATGGCAGAACAATGTATCTTCTTGGTAATAACACGAGCTCTATGTATGGAACCTCTGTTTATGGGTTTGGATGTGGGATTCCTGTTTTCTGGGATGTGCATCTGCTTTGTAAATGTTACCAAAAAAAAAAAAAACCAGCAACGGTGAGTCTTTTAAACAAATTGCAAATGGCAACGTGTCCAGAAGTGCTCCTAATGTGTCTGGTGAGTGTCCAAAATTCAAAAAAAAATTTAAAAAATTTGGATGCTATATCCCAACACGTGTCTGAGATATGTCGAACGTGGTTGTGTCCCAGACATGTCAGACACGTATATGTCAGCCAAAATGATGTGTTAGTGCTTCATAGCTTCACACTAATCCTCTGTCACATATATATGCCAATAAATTATTATTACACAAAAGTTTTTAAATTTTGACTTTTTTTTTGGGTGTGGTGTTAGATTTATTCTCGATGTTCTTATATTACTTCCTTTGGCATGCATACTATTGAATACTTTATGGTAATCTTCATACATCTTAGGAGATATCAATGTGATTCTTTGAAGAGTAGTTTAATTTCTAACTTACAAATCTTCCACAAGCTTTTTCTACCACTAGCGCCAAAATTATGTAGCAAGTTTCTAAGGGGACCAAAAAATTTAAGAACTCACACTAAGGGAGCAACCTAAAGAAATATCAAAACTAAAGGGTTTTATCCTTCGTACAAGGTTCCTTATTATAACGGGCTTTCGTAGAGCTAATTGTTAGGTAGCTTCTTTTCCATTTTGGAGAGGTCGGACCTAGACTGGTAATAAGTGCTCATTCAAGTGATTGTGTATGGTGTGCTAGGGAAATAGTGTTTTGTCATGGAGCAATAGTATTTCATCGCTGTTGAAATATAAATATTTAAGTTACAACCCCTTTCTAACAACCAAAGCTTTTAGAGTAGATAGTTGTTTAACATGGTATAGAGCAGGAGGTCCGGTATTCAAATCTCACCGCTATCTTGATTATTAAAAGATTTTCACGTGTTAGGCCCAACGTTTAGCTTGCACATGAGGGGGCGTGTTGAAATATAAATACATAAGTTATACCATTTCTAACAACTAAAACTTTTAGAGTATATAGGTGTGTAACAATCTCCATTTCAGGTGTCACTATGGATTACTAAACATTTGTAGTGTCAAACTTAGTGGTGAAATAATATGCCAACTGGGATAATGATGTCTTAAAAACTCGACGAATCATTTGAAGTTTAAACAGGTTGTTGGACATCGGTGATTCTCCAAGAAAACATGTACTGACAACGGTTTGGAAAGGATGAGTTCATTTCATGGGGATATGTGTTCAAATTAACATTTTCTAAATGAAATGTTCTTTATGCTGCTTTTGATTGCTAATTTCCATAATTATCCCGGTGATCTATACAATTTTTTCCTTACCGAATATAAGCACATAAATTTGAGTCATTTTGCAGTGGACAAGGACCAAATAACTTCTTTCTCAGTCCTCTACATCAACATACTGCAAAAGATTACCTTTTCACATTCTAGTGGATGATATCATGATATAGCTTTATTCCAACTTTATATTTATCCTTACATTACATTCTGATTATGTTACTATCTGAGATCCTTTGGTGTGGAATTCCAACTTCCGGCTGCATTGTATTTTCGTTATATTTTTTGACTGAGCCAAGTCACATAATATTTTCTTCTTCTCTCGATCTGTTGTTTTTGTCATCTGTGCATAGTTAGTGAATAACCATTAGTTTGTAGGCTGATGTCTACACAGATGCATCAGGAGCTTGTGCTGCCTTTATTTCCAACATGGATGATAAACATGACATGATGGTAAAGTTCCGGAATATGTCATATTACCTGCCAGCGTGGTCGGTTAGCATTCTGCCAGACTGCAAAAATGTAGTATTTAACACTGCGAAGGTAACTTCTGGTTTTTTCACGGTCTTTATTGGATAAAACAGTTTTTGTGACTCACCTGTAAAAATGGAAGCTTATTATTCCTCTATTTGGAACGATACTAATGTGAATTTACAAATATGAATGAGGGGTAATATTGTGGATATTGTTCCATATTTTGTGGAATAAATGCTTTCAGAAGCTATAGTCACGAGTGGTAGTGAGAGAAAAAGGTGAATGAGGGAGAAAAATAAAGCTACGAGTCTTTCTTTTTAAATCAGTTTTCCTTTGATGCTGAATGAAGATTAAAAAAGATGATCATGTTTTCTTGAGTAAGTTATCTTGGTTTCAATGACTGGCAAAATGACCTTCTTGCACTGATTTTTCATTCACTATTTTTTAAAGTAAAAATATCATTCATCCTTTTTCCAGAAACTTGCTGTGTTATCAAGTAGAAAACAGATACAGATGTCCATGCCAACAGGACTGTCTCTCAATGAACTCGCACATGGCATACATAATCATAACCATGTTCTGTATGGTATAAGACTGCTAAATAAGTATCAAACTTTGTGGTCTGCTTCTGGTCAATTCTTAATTGTCCATCTTACTTAAGATGTTCATGTGCCTATAGTTAATGTGTACATTGTTGAGGAGACTGGTTCTAAGCCTCTCTTGTTCTGCATCTGATTCTTGCTTTTGATTAGCTTTTTGCGGCTTATTATGGAGATTTCTAACAGGTCGGATCTCAAACTTCAATTGTTGAGATGGTACCAGAGGATTTGCAGCGATCAATAGTATCACCAGATGAAGACCTGAAAAGTCCAGAATGGGGAGTGTTTGTTGAAAAAGCTGGGATCTGGGGAGAAGCTGATTTTGTTAAGAATGGCTTTGTAGATCACATCAACACCACAAAAGATACCACCGACTACCTCTGGTATACAACAAGGTTGGTCTTACTTGAGATACCATTGCCTGTAGATTTGGAGCTGGTTGTCTAGCAGGGTCTTATATATTCCCGGCATTTATGGATTACCTTGCATTTGCATTTGACTTAAAGTAGTCAGGTTTGTTAAACATTGGTACATTTTAATATTGTATATATTTCATTGTAGTAGTGTACAATATTATATATAATTGATTGTACTAATGTATAATGTACATACATGAATCTTTACATACAATGTATTGTACATATACATGTATAACTACATACATGTACATGAATATTATCTAGTACATGTATTCATCATTTTCAATACATGAATTATATTAATTAGATACTTGTATATTATGCATACATGAATGCGTTGTATACATGAATCCTATTTATTAGATATATGTAGTTAGATACATGTATATTATGTATACATGAATGAGTTGCATACATAAACTCTAGAATGTTCTAAGAGCTTATAAATAGGATCTCTAAAATGTGCATTTGAAGTTTTGAAAAAACAATTATCCAACACTTAAACAATACTACACATACTTGAGGGTTGAAGCCAAGGAAAGGTGTTCTTATTGGTGGAGCTTTGGACTTAACTACTTGTGCAGAGTTAGTTAGTGTCATACGATGAAGTTGTCGGGTTATTGTATCCTAGAGGGGACAAGTCATACGAGAAGGTATGCTGCATCGGTTTTGGGCTTTTTCATTAGCAAAGGGCTTGAATCTCCTTAAAGAGAGCGAGATACCTACGCCTTAGGCTGAATTGTTTTTGTATAAAGTTTATTATTTTGTACTTTGCTTTTCAATTTTATTGCAATATCACTAACAGCCTGTAATCCAACTTGCCCTGGTATTGGTGGGGCTGGTTGTTCTGGAGTTGGTTGGTTTTACTGATTGCACGGGGGTCTACCAAATCCCTGCCTATTTATTGCCATTGCTAAAAGAAAATAACGAATAATTGTACCTAGTCATATGATGTGATCCCAAAATTAGGTAATCAGCACATAGCATATAACATTCGGTTATATCACATTAGTTTTAAAAGTTACGCTAAACAAACATGATTTGTAGATTATTTGAATTTCTCCCACTAGCTCTCTTGGGGTTACAACTATGTACATAGGGTTAGTCAAAATTTCTAAGATGAGCTAACTTTGCTCAATAAGCTTAGGTTATCATGCTTCATGTCCCCATTACGGAGGCCCATTTGCTGAACTGACCGAAGAAATAGGATGGTTTAGTTTTGGAACATCTAAAACAAGTTCAACCGCAAGTTCATTTGGGTCTGGTTTTGGGGACCTGACGTTGATATTAGGAACTACTTGATTTCCTACGTGGAGGTCCAATTGGGCCTCGATCGGTTTCCATTGATTCATTCCCTCTTTAGCTATTTGGTGCATAATTTCCTGATTTATGTCCAAATTTTGTTTTATATTTTCCCAATAAGAAGCAACTATTTTATTAGTAATTATGGTGAAAGAGACAGTATAGTAGCACTTGAAATCTCAAGTTCTTAAGTTTTAGGGTTTAGAAGAGAGAGGAGGCATGAAAGGAGAAAACTAAGGTTAAGGAGAAAGAGAGTTAACTGATCTCTCTTCTCAGAAAGTCATGTATATATTAACCAATAATAGGCTACAAATTACAATTATACCAGTTGAATGATAAAATTGATATTAGGGTTTATGAGGGAAAGAAGAAGGGAGGAAGAGAGAAAGGGATTGAGAGTAATAATCATTTGTATGATCAATGTTACCTTACACTCTCTTATTTATATTAAACCCTATCTTTGGGAATTTTAATATTACCCTACATAGATATAGAACATAAAAATAAGAAATCTTTAATACTCCCCCTCAAGTTGGAGTATATAAATCAAAAATACCCAACTTGAAACAAAAGATTATTAAACTTACCACGAGACAATAGTTTGGTAAAAATATCACCCAACTTATTACTAGACTTGATACATGGAGTGATAAATCTCCTTTCACATAAGAAGATCCCGAATACAATGATAATTCACTTCTATATGTTTGGTGTGCTCGTGAAAAATTGGATTACTGACAATAAAAATAGTTGTTTGATTATCACAATGTATTTGCATAGGACAAGACACACTAATCCCCATATCAGAAACTCTCGGGCTTTGACTAATTGAAGAGCTAAAGGGAAGTATTTGCCTATAAAGAGCTCTATGAATTTTTTCCATGTCATTGTGTCAATGTCTAGTGAGGACCTTACCCATGTCCACCAAAGATGGGCCTCTCCCTCAAGCTTGAAAATGGCCCGCTGTATCTTAGTGGCGTTGGATGTGATCTCTATTACTTGTAGAATCTTGTCTACCTGTTAGAACCAATGGTCGATTACCATCGGAACAACTTCTCCTTTGAAGGTAAGGTACTCGGCCTAATGAAGCCTCTAACCAATAGCTCATGTAACTGGACTTTAAACTCCTATAACTCTGCCTGTGCCATCCTATGCAGTATCTTAGAAATAGGGGATGCATTGGGTTGTAACCCAATAGTTAAGTCTGCACTCGATGCGGTGGCAACCTCAATAATTCTTTCGGATAGATATCCGCATAGTCGCATATGACTCAAGGCAGACCTAGCTCCAGTCTCACCTCATCCTCTAGGGTAAGGCTAATAAGCCAATCCATTAACTGCCTGGGCCATCGGGAGTCATAAACGACATAAGGTAAAACATGGTGTTTCTGCTCCTAAAACTTAAAACAAATCCCTTAGAGCGTAGGTCGTAACCCTCTTGCGCTTGCAATCAATGACAACTTTGTGTGCTGCCAACCAATTTATCCCAAGTATGACATCGAACTCTGTCATCTCTATGACCTTAAGGTCAACAGTCAGCTGGATTCCCCCGATCTCTAACTCACCCCCGAAAAATTCTATCCATACAAACCCTAGCTCCTAGGGGTGAACTCACTTATTAGGGCTCTTCCAGAGTCTCAACCTTTAAAGCCACATCATTTACACATGATACAACTATGAATGAATGAGATGCACCGGAATCAAGCAGTACTCTAGTCCATAATCTAGAGAGAAAAAAAGTACCCTGTATCACTATTTGATTTGTCGGTTCAGTCTGTGACGTGATGGTGTAGACTCGTCTCTGGATTCCTAAAGTCTTTGCCTGTTAGCTTTATCCCTGCTCTCAACTTGATCCTTGACCCATCTGTCCTATCTAGGGTGTCCTCATACATGCTGTGGTAGGAGACTACCCCATTGCTTGGTACTGGTATTGGCTCCTTTGGCCCATGATGGAATAGGAAAGAGTAAAAAATATATGTGGAAGCCCCACTGATAACTAGGACTGAGGCGTCCCCAAACCTAGTAAACCCTGCCTCTCGGGCACTCCCTCCTCAAGTGGCCCGGCTGATGGCAATAGAAATATGTCTGTGGGCCTCTTGGTAGTGTGCCCCTATAGTTGTTCTTGCCTTGAGAAGATTAGCCTTGGCCCTATCCCTGTCCTTGCCCCTGCCCCTGTGATCCCTGTGGGGGTTGAAGTCCTTTGCTTCTTCCCCGAGTTGGTAGTAGAGGACTGCCCCTCCCTCTTCTTATTCTTTGATTTGGCCTCCTGGATATTTTTGCCGGCTTCAACTTCTCTCTCGATGGCCATGGCTAACTCGACCATCTTATCAAGTTCGTGCAGCCTGTGGTCCACGATTTTCCCACAGATGGATAACTTTAGGCTATCCTCAAACCTTTGCACCTTGGCCAAATCTGTGGCGACGTAATCATCTGCAAAACGTGAACTTGACCACGTAATACACGACTGTCATCGTTCCTTACTTCAAGTTCAGAAACTCTTGGGCTTTGACTGGTTGAAGAGCTGAAGGAAAGTATTTGCCCATGTTAAGAATAATAGGGTAGTATGTGTAAATTGTTAATAGTAAGAAGGTTTATGTGTAATTCGTATTAGTGTAGGTTAACTATAAATACAAGTGATGTATAAGAATTAGGTTAAATTTTTTTAACCTCTCTCTTTCTCTCTAATATTGTGTTATGTTAATTCACTCAACTTAACATGGTATTCGAGCAATATGCGATCATAAATATATATTCTGAATAAATTTTGTACGTAGAAGTGCTACTGTTGTGGTGGTGTTGTACTGTTCATCGTAGTGGTGTGGCTGTGGTTTGTGGTGGTTGTTATAGTGGTTCATCGTTGGTGGTGAGGCGTGGTCTGTGGTGGTGGTTGTGCTCGCGTGGTCTATGGTGGCCTGTGGTGGCTGTGTGGTGGTTCGTCGTCGGCGTGGTCTGTGGTGGCTGTTGTGGTCGATTCGTGGTTGTGGTGGTTCGTATTGTCGGTGGTGAGGCGCAGGTGGGTTTTTTGAAACCCTAACCAGCGAAGAAGAAACAGCCTGACCTGATCCACTTTGGGTCAACCCAAATTTGACCTAATCCATTGTTTGGTTTGGTTCAGACTAATTTCAGACCGGTTCAGTATTGCATCAAGCAAAATCGGCCCGCTTCAGTGCTCCATCATGCAAAACCGGCCCGGTTCGGTGCTCCATCAAGCTAAACCGGCTCAGTTTAGTGCTCCAACAAGCCAAACCGGCCCGGTTCAGTGGTCCAGAGGGCTAAACCGAATCGGTTCAGTGTTCCAGCAACTTTTTTCAACCCGGTTCAGTGGTCCAGCTATCTTTTCTAGCCCAGTTCAGCCTTTTAGTAGTTTCTTTTTCTCTACTTCAGCATTGTAACTCTTCTTGTTTACTATTTCCTGCATTATTATGGAACCCAAGCAAGATACCAGGTCCCTTACTCCATCTTTGTCGTCTCCAACTCTTATCAATGGTCCCATGATCTTTGTCAAACTTAATGAGATTAATTATACTTTATGGTCCCGATCTGTTCAAGTTTTTCTTCGAGGCAAAGGATTTAAGAAATATCTGTTGGGTTCTAAACCCAAGGAAGACACTCTTGAGTATGATCAGTGGGAACAAGAGGATACTCAGATTATTTCTTTATTGTTGAATAGCATAGAGCCCAGTATTAGCTTTTTTCTGCTCTATCTTAATACTACCAAAGAGATATG